AGCGGGGACGGGCCCGGGCCGCCCGGGGGGCTCCTCAACCGCTTCGTGCAGCTGCCGCGCAGGCCCCAGCTCGCAGGTGGGTCCCGGCGGCGCGGGGCGGGGCCCTCCCCCAGCAGGGCGCATGCGCACTTGCCCCCCAAACGCGGCCTCTCCGTGTCCCACACGACGGCGCACGCGCGCTCCCCCCTCCCATAGGGGGCGCACTCCCTCTGCCCACGGTGGCGCATGCGCACTCCACCACTCGCCCTGTGCTGCAGGAGGTGAGCACCTCTCCCACTAGAGGGCGCATGCGCATTTCATCCCCTTGGGTGCTGTCCTCCAGTGTTGTGCATGCGCACTCTGGCCTTTGCTAGGGATTTTTTGGGGGGAGGCACACGTGCTCTTTGCTTCCCCCCACCCCCCAGGGGGCACCTCAGCTCCTTCCATGAGGGTGGGGGCTCCTGGATAACCCCCCTTAATGGCGCACACCATCCCCTGAGGAGGATCCTGGATCTCCCCGCTCCCCCATGAGGCTTATCAGCTCCTGCAAGTGGGGTGGTCCTTGGAATTTCCACCCCCCCACTGGGGCAGCCCAGTTGCTGGGAGTGGAGGTCCTGGACCCCCTCATGTGAGCAGGTGATGCCCCTGCTGCATCCCCAGCATGGGGGGAGGTGCTGGTTGCGGAGGGGCATCACCTGTGGGGTTCTGCCCTGCCCCTGCTGCTTGCAGGCACCACCCTGGAGGTACCAGGGATGTGCTCCAGGGCCTGTGAGCCCAGGCGGGTAGAGCCGTGGCAACGTCCTGAGCCTGGGCCCTGTGGGTTGTGCTGCAGGCGCCCGACCAGCAGGATCCTGGGGGAGACGAGGGGCTACAAACAACACCCCCCCCCCAGGATGCAGCACCTTATAGGGCAAGACCAACGAGGCTCCTTTGTCCTTCAGCTGATGCCAAGACCCAGGCTAATGCGAAGCTGCCACGGGCAGAGCTAGGATTTGGAAAAAGGCAGTGCAGACAGTGTGTCCCATGGCTGTCTAGAACACAAGACCTAGTTTCTCTTTCATTAGAGGAAAAATATAAGTGTTATTCATAGGCTGGGGGGGCAGTGCTTTTATCATACAGTTGAAGATCAAAGCAAAACCGCAATAACTATTGGAATGTGTGCCAATTTACTAGAGTAGCTATTAATTAAAAAAACCCACGCACACCAGGCACGATAAGAGTAAAAAAAGTTGTGCTGTCAGTCCCCTAGTCATTACAGTTAAATGCACATCTCATAAAACAGAATCTAGCCTTCTTGAGTGTGGTGACCATGCCTCCTCCAATACTTCACTGTCGGTCATTTCTACGCCTCGAGTTAATTTGACTATACCTGATTTGAGGGTTTTTAGTGAGAGCCAAAGACAGGCTGCAGGGCTGTGAAACAGAAGAGAGGCATTCCTGGGAATGGCCAACAAACAGCTACCTTGCAGAGGAAAGGATAGTTTGAATAGTGGAACATCAAGCCCATGGAGAGAGGACAGATTAGCAGGAATGGGGGATGTGGGGGATGACAATGAGACCTGAAGTCAAGTGACTCCCTCCCTGCTGCCTAACTAGAAGTGCTGCTGCCCCTCCTAGGCAGTTAGGTCTAAAGTCTGGTTGGAGCAGGAATCAAAGTGGGGTGCAGCCACACCACTGCACCCCCTGGATCTGCTCCTTGGAGCCACTAAATGATTGTAAGAGACTTTCCTTCCTCCTCCCTCCTCTGGAGGCTTCCCCTATATTTTTTATAAAGGAGATTTGCCATCTTTCCACCATTCCTTAACAAGGCCCCCTGCTGCGCAGCCGTGCAGTGCTAGCTTTATCCTTTCTTTTCCAAATGCCAAGTCAGCTCTATCTGATGGCTGGCAGTACGCCCTCCTGGCGCGTTTCTGCTGGGCCCATTAATTGTTGTTGATGTTGAAGTTAAGCTTTTATAAATGCCTGATGAAAACCTGAAAGTAAGCTGCTGGATTTTCTCTCCTAGAGCCTGTGGAAAGACTGGCTAGGTGACTGAGGGCTGTGCCCTCTCCCAGTTTGCTCAATGCCATCTTACCTTTGGAGGCATGTAATGATAATACATGTGGGGCTGTTTTGTTGTTGCGTGGGCTTGCAGAAATATCTGGTGATTTTAGGTGCAGTCTGAGTAGGTTACTATAATGTTTTGCAGCCTAGCGTGTCTGGTATGTCACTATTGCTTGGGGTGCTTCCCCATACACCTAGCTGGTTCTCTTCCTCTCTGCCCTTAAATTCCACCCCCCTCCCAGTACAGTTGTCCTGGCTTCTTTCCAAAGAGTGCAATATAATCCTTTTTTATTTTTTGTGCTGCAATCCTTGATATGAAACCCTGCCAAAGGGTTCTTAGCACTGTTTGGGACCTCGTGTGTTTGCTAGAGGTCCCAAACTCTTCTTCACTCTCGGGGAACCCCTGTGCTACTTCCAGAAGTCATTGAGGGTTTTCCTTTTTATTTTCCTCTGGTAAACTGCAAGATATGAGATTAAGATGACAAAGTTGAATACTTGGCATGGTTCTTTTCCTCCTCTTACCACCAATTATAATCCCTTCTGCCATTCCTGATATGATCATGGTAAACTGAATTAATTTCTCCCTGTCATAGAGGTGATTAGCCATGTTCATAGAATCATAGAAATGAGGGGCTGGAAGGGACCTCGAAAGATCATAGAGTCCAACCCCACTGCTCTGATGATTCCAGCAAGGCGTCTGTCCAGTCTCCTCCTGAAGATTTCCAAGGTTGGAGACTGCACCACCTGCTTGGTATGTCTATTGCAGATTTGGGTCACCCTTGCTGTAAAGAAGTTCTTCCTTGCATCCAACCTGAAACCATCCTCTCAGTGTATGGCCATTGCTCCTTGTCCTCTCCTGGGCTGCCCTAGTGAACAGTTTTTTTCCCAGCTCCCAATATCCACCCTTTACATATTTACAGATAGCCACTAAGTCCCCGCTTGGTCTTCTCTTCCCCAGGCTGAACAGTCCCAGATCCCTTAGTCTTGCCTCATAAGGGTTTGCCTCTAGGCCCTTAATAATTTTCGTGGCCCCTCTCTGCACCCTTTCAAGATTCTCCACGTCTTTTTTTTGAAGTGCAGTGCCCAGAACTGGACACAGTACTGCAGCTGGGGTCTCACCAACGCTGAGCAGAGAGGAAGTATCACCTCCTTAACCCTGCTCGCAATGCATCGGCTAATGCATCCCAGTGTGCTTAGCTCTGGTGACTACAGCATTGCGCTGGCGGGTTATGTTCATCCTGTGATCAACCATAACCCCCAGATCCCTTTCAGCCACTGTGCTGGCCAGGACATCTGCTCCTAACCTGTATTCATGTCGCTGGTTGCTTCTCCCCAGATGAAGCATGTTAGTCTGAACTCAGGAAGAAGGTAGGGCAGAGTGGCACCTCGGAGACTAACTAGTTATCTGACTAACTGTCTCACTGACAGTTTCTTCCCATGGAAAATGGAATAATATTCTTTCTTGACATCATCTTGCATAGGTACTACTTCAAGCCTTCTCCGACCAAAATAACTTGTTCAGTGAGGAAAAGAAGTCTTTGATGTAACATGCACTGAAACTTAAAATGACTTGCGGGCAGGGGAATATATAATTTAAAAAAATAGACAAGCTGTTCAAGGATCTCTTGCCAGATTCAGGCCTATGTCCTCACATTAAGAAAGCAAATGTTTCAGTCAGTATGGGAATAGTAAAAAGTTGCATTGATGGCTTTAACAAGGAAAGGTGTCTTGGGGGAGGAATGATAAACTTCATATTTTTTTTGCTGTGTTGTGATGTACAAAGAAGAGCAGAGGGCTTCTGGCATGAGCTTGAGGAGGATAAGCTTTAGCACAGCGATTCTCAACCAGGGTTCCAGCACCTGGGGGATACTGAGAGATCCTTTTAAGGGTACACAGTATTAGTGCTGGTGGGTGTGCAAACATCTACCCATGATTCACAAGATAAACCCAGAGGTTTCAAACAGGAATCCAGTGTCACAAACACTTTGACCTGTTGTGGTCTCTTTCAGAGCAATTCTTCTGTAGCAAAGAACTTATTTTTCTGTAGTCGTGAAAGCTCAGAGACAGCATTTTCTGAAGGGTGCCTTGAGCCTGAGTTTAAGGAGATGGAAAACCATTGCTTTAGCAGCATCAAGGATGTTGAGGTTTGGCAGTGGCAGTGACATTCTCCCCTGTGTCCAGTGATTTCTTGGCTGGGTTTTGGGGAGCGTGAGTTCTTGCATCTAAACTGCTTGGGTATAGGAATAGATCTCAAACTGACGCTTCCATTTGTGCTTTCATTGGGCTTTGGAGGTGAATGGAAATTAATGTACCAGACACTTAAATGGTCTAACCTAAAATTATCTTCCCCTCTCCATTGCTCAGCTCTCATTCTCTTGTGATGTCATTCTGCTAATTTATTGGTCACGGTAGCCTTCCAGGGCAGACGAGAGCTGAATTTCTAATAGGTTGACAACCCCCCCCCCCCAAAACAAACAAACAAACAAAACCAACCAAACAAAAACCCTCAAAAGAAACAATAAGCCAGAATATTTTCACAATCTTTCATGGCTTCTTTCTGTGCCAAAAGGAAAATTGGGTTTATAATCCCATCCCTGTTTGCATGATAGGTTTAACATTCACTATACAAATTGTTTGACTCTCTACAAATTCTAACTTAGTCCTGCGTATTTTTGGTATGTTTATTTCGGGGTACTGTTTTGTGACAGTATGCAAGCAAGCAGTGTCCTTTCTTATTCACTGTTTCTTGCTTTTCTTTTTCTTTATTTTTTTGCAGGTGGATTGGGGCTGTGTAATTTATTCTATGCATGTTTTAAAATGTAGACAGTATTGCATGTCTAATAATAAAATAAAACCTATGGGATGAACTTCTGAGCTGGAAGTTCTCCTCGCTCCCGCGCTGCTATCTGAAAGCTGCAGTTTGGACAAAAAAGAGACTTTTGTTCCAAATACTGTATTGGGAAGCTTTTTGTGTGTGGCTATTGCCAAGCCAAATAGTTTGTCAGCCTTATTTTGACAGGTTTTGTTTAGTCTGGACATTAGGATATTGTCCTC